GAATTGTGTAAAACTGATGAATCACAGACCTGTACCCCTGAAAAAAATAATACATTATATGTTAATGAAAAATAAGTAAATAAATAAATAAGAACATCTTGCCTTTGAGACCACAAGGCCACGTTCCAACACAAACACAAATAAAAGCAGCAAAACACACTGAAAAACAATGAACAAAAACAGTAGAAATCCTCATGCAAATTACAAATGCTAACTAAGTGACAGAACGTTCACAATCTCCCCCCCGCCACCTTCTCCATGGAGGAAGACTGGGAAGCACAAAGTTCTGAGGCCTTTAACACATTCATGAATAGAGCAAAGTTAAGACAGAATCTCTAAAGCTAAACTTAAGATTAGAATCACAGAATCTTAAAAATGTTAATGCCAAAAAAAACTTGGAGATCAGCCCAACCCTCTCTCCTTTTACAGATGAAGAAATACAAGACCAAGAGGTTAAGTGATTTGCCCAAAATTGCCCAGTATGTTCCATGATTTCTTCAAATATGTGTTATTTCTGCCATCCTCCCTCCTGCTTGCATCCTCTGCTCTTCTGCATCCTCCCCTTCTTTCCTCTAACCAAACTCTCCCAACCCCCTATCAATGACAGTAGCAATTTCAACTGCAGAGAAGGAGCCTGTGTACCCCATGCCCTAGTAAGATTGAAAGTTCCTCGAAAACAAAGGCTGTGCCTGTGTCTCGGTGCCTACAAAAGAGCCCTCCATGTGCTCACACATCCCCACTGATGGACTGACTGAGCGACACACAGTTCTCTCTTCTTCCTGTAAGAATTTACTAAGCATTGAATGAATGCTACATAGCAGACCCACTGCAGATTCAGGCAGAGAATTGCCCATCTAACCAAAAGAAAGAGTTTCTAGGGAGCCCTGGAAGATGCCAACATCTTGGGGGCCACAGCTTTGCCACTCTATGGCAATGGCTGTTGTCTTTATCCCCTACCCATTCCACTGCCATTCCCCCTATTTGCCTCTGGGGTCACCAAACCTTCTCTTGGTTTTTCTTCTAATGGGAAAGAAGAGACATAATTGAATAGCACTCACAAGTCGAGATTCAAAAGCAGAAAGAGAATCTTAGTATGACCCCACTCTCGGGATTTACAAACAGACTGAAGCAAGTGCTGACAGTGCCAGAAGACCCCGAAGAGCAGAGGATGCAAGCAGGAGGGAGGATGGCAGGATCCCAGAGGCAGAAAGCCCATGGGATGCCAGGAGGAGTGTCGAATCTAAAACCCCGTTGGGTTCCCTTCAGAAGTCACATTCCTTCTGCACAACACAATTCTCTGAGCTATCCAGGCCTAAAGCCTTGAGTCTCTCCTGACTTCTCCACTTTCCCTACCCCTCATCTAATCTAGCCCCAAACCCCACCCTTTCTTCCCTCTTTCATCCAGCTACTGTCATGTAGTTTGAAACTGCCATATCCAAGTCAAAGCTCTCATCATTTCTCATGTGGGCCACACAATAGACTCCTAAATTTTCTCCCTGCTCAGACATTCCTCTTTCTAATTCATCCTGTGTACTGCAGTCTCTGGTGACTGACTTGTCCCAGGCTGCCCAGAACTCTCCCCATTTTAGCACTGAAAGTCTCATGCCCTGGGAAACCCCTTAGTCCCAGACAAACTGAGACAGCTGGCCGCCTTACTGCAGTCAGATTAAAATCTTCCCCCAGACAATGCTTTGATCATGTCATTTTCCTGACCAAAATGTTCCTTGTTTCCCACTTCTCATTAAAACTAACCTTGAAGGGGTATCTGGGTGGCTCAGTTGGTTGAGCGTCTGCCTTCAACTCAGGTCATGATCCAGGGGTCCTGGGATCAAGCCCCACATTGGGCTCCCTACTCAGCAAGGAGTCTGCTTCTCCCTTTCCCTCTGCCCCTCTCCACTGCTCATTCTCTCTCTCTCTCTCAAATAAATAAATAAAATCTCAAAAAAAAAAAAAACTAACCCTAAAGCAGGCCCCAAATCTGCTTCAAAGAATGTATAAGAACACATTGGGTTGAGGTCAGAAAACAAGGATTATGAGCCTGGTTTTTGTCATAACCGTGTGAGACCCTTGGCAATTCACTCCATCTGTCTGGACCTCAATTTTCTTGTCTGTAAAATTAAGAGGCTAAAGCTAGATTTCCTTTGCAGCTCTAAAATTCTCTAATTCAATTCTTCTATATAGCCTCCCCTCCAGCCAGACTCACCAGCTTACTACAATCAAAACACACCCTGTAAATTCCTGCCTTGTACCTTTGGTCTTTCCCTTCTCCCCCCCAGGATTTCTTTGCTTTGTTTTCTGCCCACTTGAATTCCATGAGGAACAACACAAATCCTACCTGCTAAGGAGAGCCTGGGCCTAGCCCACAAAGACTTCACATGTAACCGAGGTTTTCTGACACTCGCACCTCTCATGTCCTGCTCTGCTGTTCAAAATCTTTTTCTGCATGAAGCTTTTTTATTCCAACTGAACTAAAATCTCTGCACTTTTGTGATTGCCTTGCAGAATGCTGAACACATATTCAATAATAGCAAGCATTGTCACTAATAACTGACTGATGTGTGGACACAGGAAAAAGTCCAAGCAGGGATCTAGATGTGATGCAAAAGTAGAAAGTAGAAGTAAATCTAGAATTTTTTGCACTTTACACAAGATTCTCAAATGCTTCCAAAAATCAGTAATTGACTTACTCCACAAAAAGTTACTGAGAATTTCCTGTGCTTAAGACATTGCTGACACGTCACAGGTGCAGAGGTGGGGAATAAGCAGTGACTCCAACAGCAGCTCTACTCACAGATATCATAGCATCCACATTGTCTATCAACTTCTAACTTTTCAGGAAGACCTTAAAAGGTGGCAGCTCCACCATCATCATACCCTTTCCTCCCCAAATTGGTCATGTATCTAATTCTCCCTCTAGCAGGCAGAGCTGTTAAATGGAAAAAACAAAATTAAAATTAAAACAGGTCAATAGATTAAAATATACATATCTAGGGTGCCTGGGTGGCTCAGTCGTTGGGCATCTGCCTTCGGCTCAGATCATGATCCCAGGGTCCTGAGATCAAGCCCCGCATCAGGCTCCCTGCTCAGCAGGAAGCCTGCTTCTCCCTCTCCCACTTCGCCCTGCTTGTGTTCCCTCTCTCGCTGTCTCTCTCTCTCTGTCAAATAAATAAAATCTTTAAAAATATATATATACATATCTACCTACACAAGAAAGATAGCCTAAAACAAATCTCTTCCAGGAACTACATCCTGGCTATTTACTAGAATCACTAGTCCTTACTCTGACAGGTGTTTATAAAATGACCATAACAATATCCTTCTTTGGTATGATTTAACTGTTGTCCTCCATTAGTCTTGGTAAATGACACATATTAAGGATGAACACAACCTACACCTGTCTTTTGGGACCCCCATAGCATGCACGCACACACACACTCCTCTAATTAAATGGGGCAGGGACTTGAACAGTATCACCTATCTAATGACAAACAGGTTCGTGAGTAAGTGGGGGAAGTAAATAAGCCAAACGGTCTGCAGAGGGAGAGGTCAAGCTGGGCTGAGCTGGGCTGGGCCCAGAGTGATTCAGGCTCCACCACAGAATGGGTGTCTCCTGGGATGGCCTAGCAGGACAATTAAAACCCCTATAAGTAGGATGGGTTTTCAAGTCTCCAGTACCCGCTCTGGCTTCTGAATCTTCTGTTCATTCCTCCTTAAGCAGGTAAGGCATGCATTGGAAGGGGGGGATGGTCAGAGGAGTGGGTTATGGCAGTATCTACAAGGCTCTTCATAGCAGCTATAATGTGCTAGGCTGGGGAGGTCTGAGACTGTTCCCTGTGTGTGACAGGTCTGGGTAGAATCCTGCTTTGTTTTTGGCTCTGAGAATATGATGATAGCTGGGGTGGCCCACTTCGGAGACTGTAAAATATGCATGTCTTTGTTTCAGCATGTCCTGGGCATCCCAAAACTGAGGGCTAGAACTATTGGTGGATAGCTTAGTCTCCCATAGTGGAGCGCTGACCCTTCATGCAAGTAAGGCAAGACTGAAAAGTTTAGAGCTCATTGGGGTTGAGGCCCTAGACCACAGGGCCACAGTAACATTCACGTCTCATTGCAGTGAAATACCATAAGGAACTCAGTATGTCCCATGCAATTCATTGTGCCATGCATCCTTATAGGCATCACTGTATGCTTTTGGAATTCCAATGTGCTTTGCAGTTAGGGCTTCTTGGAGGCTTATAAACCCAGTAACTAGAATTTTTACAGCACAGGAAGAAATATCACTGAGATCCAGATCCCAAAAGACCTTAGTTTTCCAACATGGCCATTGTGGAATCTAGCTGATTATATATACTTCCTATCATCTGTGCAGTTAATTTGGCTTGCTATTTTTATTGGTAATAGTTTTTATATTAATTTATTCTACTTTATAAGCATACCCCAAATGACCATCCAAGCCAGAAGTACTTGCTGTAATTTAGCTATCCAGAAAGCTTGCTTGGCCCATGGCAAGAGACCTCTAGCCTTCTTTCCCACTTGAGCAATGGTCATTTGAAGACTGAGGCCTATTCAGTGGGGTCTATTTAGTGGTGGAAAATTATGCCTTACTATACTGGCTTCTGGCCCTGCCTCTGTGGGCCTCCTGACCTCCCTTCCTTTTTATTCTAATAAAAGAGTTTCAATCAAGCAAGTTCCACCTGGAGTAGGGGATGGGGCATGTAAACCACCTACCATATGTTCTTCACTTTTTAGGAAATTGTCACTTTTCCTAGTAAGGGACCCATAGTTTGTGCCCATCTCCCACTGTAGTACATGATATTTTGAGCCTGAATGTGGGTCAAAGGGAGTGAGGGGTATGGCTAAGAAGGGGCTCTATCATTTCTTAAACTTCTTTCCCTGACCAAAAAAGGCCACTTGCCCTCTGGAAATGCTATCTCCTGGTCTTCATCCTAAACACAGAAAAAATCTTGTTTCTTCTTTTAGGTTTACCCATTTTTGTTAAAATGGCTCAACTCCTGAACAGCATACTCACTGTGATCAAGGTGTTCCAGAAATATGCTAAAGAGAATGGGAAATGTACCTTGCTCTGCAAGAAGGAGTTGAAGCAGCTGCTCTTGGCTGAGCTTGGAGATATCCTCCGGGTAAGATGCATAGACTCTGGCCCCATTAAGTCAAGTGTGAGTGACTCTGACACTTGCATCCAGGGTTTGATGTTTTTTGTTTGATCTGGTCATGCTCCATCCACCCTGTAGCTAAAGATTTTCAGGCAGCTCCTCAGTACTTCTGTCCCAGCAGACACACGTGCTCACAGGCATGCACACACACACACACACACACCTTCTTATAGCTGAGCTTGACAGAAGGGAGCACAACTTCAAACCAGTAATAATTTCTCAGAAGAAATTCTAGATTCGTATCTTGATTTCTGTCCACACATCTTCTCATTCATCCATTCAAGTCATCCTAGGCACTGGGAATGCAAACATTAATAAAACCAGCTTCTCCTCCCTCTAGGACCTCACAGTGTGGTTGGAAAGAAATAAGTAAAAAATAATTACGATATAGCATGTGATGGGATGGAATAATCATGCCCCCACTGGTCCAGCAAGAGATGCGGTTCTGAGGACCAGTTGATCCGTTGGGCTAGAACCAAGCCCAAGCCATTTCAGATTAATGGTTTCCAACCAAGGAAGGCTCATACAGGAGTGAAGAGGCTGGGGCATAGATACTAGCACACAGTATCCACAGGAGAACAGCTGATTTTGCTCTTTGTTTTATTTTCTCACAGAGACCAAATGACCCAGACACGGTGGGCACCATCCCGAGCCTCTTGGATAAAGACAGAAATGGACATGTTGATTTTCATGAATATCTCTTGTTGGTGTTCCAATTGGCCCAAGCCTACTATCATAAACTGGATAATAAGTCATGTGGAGATAGAATCTCTCAGCAAGAAGGGGAGCAGGAGGGAACACGAGACCATAAGTTTCCAGAAAATACAGGCAGGCAACACAGGCAGAGGCATGAGGGAGAAAGGCAGGACTCCCACTGCACTCAGTCTGAGAGACAAAACCAGGATGTCCACCAGAATCAGTCAGAGAGACAGGATAGGGACTCCCGCTGTGGTCAGTCAGAGAGACAGGATAGGGACTCCCGCTGTGGTCAGTCAGAGAGACAGGATAGGGACTCCCACTGTGGTCAGTCAGAGAGACAGGATAGGGACTCCCGCTGTGGTCAGTCAGAGAGACAGGATAGGGACTCCCGCTGTGGTCAGTCAGAGAGACAGGATAGGGACTCCCGTTATGGTCAATCTAAGAGAGAGGATAGGGACTCCAGCTGCAATCGGTCTGAGAGACAGGATAGGGATTCCCGCTATGGTCAGTCTGAGGGACAGGATAGGGACTTCTGCTACGGTCAGTCAGACAGACAGGATAGGGACTCCCACTATGATCAGTCTGAGAGACAGGATAGGGACTCCAGCTATAGTCAAAGATGGAGACATAAATCTAGCAGTAGCCTGCCTAAAAGACAAGGATATATCTTTGCCTTAAGTCAGTGTGAGAAACAAGTTCACGATTCTCATTATGGCCAGACAAACCAACAGGAATCAGGTTCTTATCATGAACAGTCTCAGAGGCTGGATCAGGAATCAGTCTATGGTCAGAGAGATAGACAAGAATTGGACTTTCAATATGGCCAGACAGACAATGCCAGAGTTCTCACTATGGTCAGACAGACAGACAAGGCCAAAGTTCTCAGTGTGGCCAGACAGACAGACAAGGCCAGAGTTCTTGGTGTGGCCAGACAGACAGACAAGACCAGAGTTCCTACTATGGCCAGACAGACAGACAAGGCCAGAGTTCTCACTATGGTCAGACAGAGAGACAAGGCCTAGGTTCTAAGTTTAGCCAAACAGACAGACAAGGCCAGAGTTTTCATTATGGCCAGACAGACAGACAAGGCCAGAGTTCTCACCATGGTCAGAGAGACAGAAAAGGCCTAGGTTCTCAGTGTAGCCAGACAGACAGACAAGGCCAGAGTTCCCACTATGGTCAGACAGACAGACAAGGCCAGAGTTCTCACTATGGCCAGGCGGACAGACAAGGCCAGAGTTCCTACTATGGCCAGACAGACAGACTAGGCCAGAGTTCTCACTATGGTCAGACAGACAGACAAGGCCAGGGTTATCATTATAATCAGACAGACAGACAGGGCCTGAGCTCTCACTATGGTCAGTCAGAGATTGGGGTAACAGGGCAAAATAGTTACCTCCAAGGAAGTGAGGGAACAAGCAGAGACTCATATGTTGAGCAATCAGGAAGATCAGGGAGACTAAGTCAAAAGACTCAAGGACAGGAAATGACTTGAAATCAGGGGCAAAGATTCCAGTCTAGGGAAGGCCAGCAGAACAGCCACCAGGCATGGGAGCCTGAGGAGGCTAGCCAACACCACCAACACAAACTCATTGCACATATCCAGCAAGAAAGGTCATGTGGTTACAAAAGGGGTGACTGGCAATCATGTGGTGGTGAGCAGGACCACACAGAGGCCCAGGCTAGGCAAAGTCATGGAGAGAGGCAGAGCCACCAGGCAGAGGAAGAGCAGGGCCACCAAAGCTGGGGCAGACATGGTTGTGAGAGTCAGGTAACTCCATGGGAGATGCAAGCCAGGCAAACCCATGAAGAGGAAAAAAGCCATCAGAGACAGGACAGGCAAACCCACGAAAGTGAGCAGACCCATCAGAGACGGGACAGGCAAACCCATGAAGATGAGCAGACCTGTCAAAGAAGGGACAGGCAAACCCACAAAGATGAGCAGACCCATCAGAGACGGGACAGGCAAACTCACGAAGATGAGCAGACCTGTCAGAGACGGGACAGGCAAACCCACGAAGATGAGCAGACCCATCAGAGACGGGACAGGCAAACTCACGAAGATGAGCAGACCCGTCAGAGACGGGACAGGCAAACCCACGAGGAGGAGCAGACCTGTCAGAGACAGGACAGGCAAACCCACAAAGATGAGCAGACCCATCAGCAACGAGACAGGGAAGCCCACGAAGAGAGTCAAAACTGTCAGCAACAATGGGATAGGCAAACCCTTGAGGAGGAAGAAAGGTATCAAGGATCCCAGGATCAACAATCTTATGGGACCCAGCAAGGCTGTGCTAATAGAGAAAAAATCCACATGAATGAGAATAGCCAGAGGCGAGGTTCACAGGGAAGACGCAGTAACCTGACCTTCCACCCCACCCAGAGTGGTGGGAGGCCCCCAAGGAGAGAACAGGGTGGAAGTCACCCTACCAAAGCATCTCCTACTCCCAAACCCCTCCATGACTATGTACAAGAGCAGAAAAGGAATCAGCATTAGGCTGTGCACACACCAGAGCTAAAAGCAACCTGAAGCTAGGGAAGAAATCTACATGTCAAGTTTATCCTTACTTCTGTTTAAGAGATTGAAAATGTATGTCTTTCTTCTCTCTTCTATCTGTTTGCAAGGATGCTTTTGAGAACTAGTATTCACTTTTAGGGCATGTCCATTCTTTGAGCAGCAATTCTAGGGTGTTCTGGTTGGGTTAAATCTGAGTGGTAAGTTGGGTGACATAATCAGATTCCAATTTTGATTACTTTGGGGATTTAAATCATTTCCTGGTTTTCCATCTGTGTAGGTGGGACATGGTTGGATCACTGAATGGTAGAAACTTCTCCCAAAAATTCAGAAACAGGAAAGGTATTCTGAAGATACATATTACAGCCTGAGGACAGGACAGCTGGACTTTGGTAGCTTTGGGCTCCTGTGGACGAAACACTGGGAATTGCAAACCTCATAGCCTACACTAAAATGAAACATGGTGAGAGGCTTCTAGGAGAGTCATCTCTGAAGTCCACAATATCTCCCATGCCCAGGCTCCCACCCTTCACCAGAGGGACTGTCCCCTGAGCTGCTATCACTACAGCTGACTGGACTGGTTCCAGCTTCATATCTATCCAGTTTCTGATCATATAAAACACAGAGAAAGAATATGTCATCTGCTTGCAGCTTCCAGCAAGCCAAAACTGTCCATCCATAGCTCCTGAAAACCCTTCAAAGAAAATCAATGGAATTGTATTAAAATACCCAATAAATGATTGGTGAGCAATGATCTCAATGACTCTTTTCCTTCTTCATGGTGGAGACATGCTATCCTATCTTCACTTGGGTGCAGTTTTCCAAAAATAAGGCCTCATTTCTTGACTTCTAAGATGCCTTTGTTCTTTGAGTTCCTGAGCACTGAAGAAAAAAAGGGAGAAGAAGAAGGAAGAGGAGGAGGAGAGGAATGGAAGAGAAAGGAGAAGGAAGAGGAAGAAGAGGAATTAATATAAAACAAATAACAAAAGGTCAAAAGGAATTTATCTAAATATTTTCAGCTCCTTCCCCCACAGAGGAGTCAAAGTTGACCGTTGCCCTCATTCACTTCCACATTCAAATGGTCATTAAGTCTTGCCAACTTTACATCCTTCATATCTCTTGGATCTCTTCCCACTTCTCCATTTCCACTGCCTTTAATTTCCCTCCTCTTCAGTGACTCCCAGTGACTTTAAGATGAAGTTCACACTCCTTAGCATGACACCTAGGCCCTTCACCATCTGACCCAGATGACCTATCCAGCTTAGTCCCATGAAAAGCCCCTCCAAGGAGCACTAAGTCCTCCAGCCATACCAAGGACTTGACCTTTTCTTAGTTTATCAGGGTCTTTCATTAACTCATATCTTTAAATATACCATTCCATAGCCTGGAGTACCTCCCCACTGCTTCTGCCAGGTAAAAACCTGGGCATCCTCTGTGTCCCAACTAAAACATCACATCTTCTGGACAGCCTTCCTGGACACTCCAAGCACTCCTTCCTTTACATTCCCATTCATTTCTCTTATAACATTTGTCACACACACACTATTGTGATTATCGCCCCTACTAGGGAATAAGACTGTATTGTACTCAACTATGTACTGCTCAGCACTTAGTGCAGCCACCAATGTCCAGGGGCACTCATAATTGTTTGCTGAATAGGTAGGCAGATGGAAGAACTTAGTCTGGCTTCAGGAAAAATTCAGCTAAAAATGTACATAGTAATATTTATGTAGTAACAGACAAAAGAGGCTAAATTTGACCCTTATTCAGTCAAGGGTGAAGGTGAATGAAACAGCAACCTTTTTTGATATTTTAAGCAATACAACATTTAATGCCTAGAATTATAAGAGCTGAATTATTAGAAATCAGTAGGTGATGCCCAGAACTATTGAGGTCAAGACATCCATAGTACTGTAATCCAGCAATCAGAAAGCTGGGATCCAGAAGCTGCTGGCATCGCTCCCAAATCTGCCTGTCAACAACCATGTTCCATAACCCTGTTTACCAAAAGAAATAGCAAAAATCACCGTAGCTTCCAAATATCACGTAAACACATCTAATTGGAAAAACATAATTCATATCCAGAACTCTAGCTACAAGGGAGTCTAGGAAATATAGAAGGAGATAAGAATGGATGTTGAGGGCCATTGGATTCAACATAGGAAGGATATATAGACTCATAACAGCAGCCCCTTCCCTCAAGGAGATTACAATCTAGTAAGAAATATGTGTACAGCAAACAACCATTAAGTGAAGCAAGATGTCATAAGTACAAGAAAATTGCTGTCATTATAGCAGCAATGTCCACAATAGCCAAACTATGGAAAGAGCACAGATGTCCAATGACAGATGAATGGATAAAGAAGATGTGGTATATATATACAATGGAATATTATTCAGCCATCAAAAATGAAATCTTGCCATTTGCAACAATGTGGATAGAACTAGAGAGTATTACGCTGACTGAAATAAGTCGATCAGAGAAAGACAATTACCATATGATTTCACTCATATGTGGAATTTAAGAAACAAATCAGAGAATAGAGGAAAGGAGGAAAAAATAAAACAAGATGAAATCAGAGAGGGAGACAAACATAAGAGACTCTTAATCATAGGAAACAAACAGGTTGCTGGAAGGGAGGGGGGTGGAGGGATGGGATAACTGGGTGATGGACATTAAGGAGGGCATGAGACATAATGAGCACTGGGTGTTACATAAGACTGATGAATCACTGAACTCTACCTCTGAAACTAATAATACATTGTATGTTAATTAAATGAGCTTAAATTTTTTTAAAAAGGGGGGGAAAATGTTCATAGCAGCAATGTCCACAATAGCCAAACTGTGGAAAGAGCCGAGATGCCCTTCAACAGATGAATGGGTAAAGAAGATGTGGTTCATATACACACCGGAATATTACTCAGCCCTCAGAAACGATGAATACCCAACTTTTACATCAACATGGATGGGACTGGAAGAGATTATGCTAAGTGAAATAAGTCAAGCAGAGAAAGTCAATTATCATATGGTTTCACTTATTTGTGGAACATAAGGAATAGCATGGAGGACATTAGGAGAAGGAAGGGAAAAATGAAGGGGGTAGAAATAGGAGGGGAAGATGAACCATGGGAGACTATGGACTGTGAGAAACAAACTGAGGGTCTGAGGGGAGGTGGGTGGGGGGATGGGTTGACCCGGTGATGGGTATTAATTAGGGCACATACTGCATGGAGCACTGGGTGTTATACGAAAACAATGAATCATGGAACACTACATCAAAAACTAATGATGTACTGTATGGTGCAAAACATAACATAATAAAAAAATTTTATAAAAATAATAAGTAAATAAATAAATAAGTAAAAAGGGGATAAAGAAAATTAAAAAAAAGAAAAGAAAAGAAAATTGCTGTCATAACACCGAGAAGGGAGTAAGTAATTGTGTGGAAGGACTGAGATAAGCTTGCATGGAAGAAAGCATCTAAGCTAGGGTCATGATCCTGAGGGAGTGGAGATGAGAAGGGTCATGGCTTGTTGTGGGCCTTAAGCTCGATGGGGATGTTGGCTGCTGTTTAAATGGCATAATTGTCGGGGTGGCGGAGCAAGATGGCGGAGGAGTAGGAGACCTGGATTTCGTCTCCTCTCAGGAATTCAGCTGGATAGGGATCAAACCATTCTGAACACCTACAAACTCAACAGGAGATTGAAGAAAAGAAGAGCAACAACTCTCTCATCAGAAAAGCGACCACTTTCTGGAAGGTCTTTTCTGATTTGTTTAAAGTATATTTTCTGGGGACGTGGTTACTCTGCTAGCATTTTGTTCTCTCATTATTCTCCTCTGCACAAAATGACGAGACGGAAAAAATCACCTCAACAAAAAGAACAAGAGGTAGTACCGACTGCCAGGGACCTACTCAATACGGACATTAGTACCATGTCAGATCTAGAGTTCAGAATCATCACTTTAAAGATACTAGCTGGGCTTGAAAAAAATATGGAAGTTATTAGAGAAACCCTTTCTGGAGAAGTAAAAGAGCTAAAATCCAACCAAGTAGAAATCAAAAAGGCTATTAATGAGGTGCAATCAAAAATGGGGCGCTAACTGCTAGAATAAATGAGGGAGAAGAGAGAATCAGTAATATAGAAGATGAAATGATGGAAAATAAAGAAGCTGAGAAAAAGAGAGATAAACAACTACTGGATCACGAGGGCAGAATTCGAGAGATAAGCGATACCATAAGACGAAACAACATTAGAATAATTGGGATCCCAGAAGAAGAAGAAAGAGAGAGAGGGCCAGAAGGTATAATGGAGCAAATTATAGCAGAGAACTTCCCTAATTTGGGGAAAGAAACAGGCATGAAAATCCAGGAAGCACAGAGAACCCCTCTCAAAATCAATAAAAATAGGTCAACTCCCCGACATCTAATAGTAAAACTTACGAGTCTCATAGACAAAGAGAAAATCCTGAAAGCAGCTCGGGAGAAGAAATATGTAACCTACAAAGGTAGAAACATTAGATTGGCAACAGACCTATCCACAGAGACCTGGCAGGCCAGAAAGGACTGGCAGGATATATTCAGAGCACTAAATGAGAAAAATATGCAGCCAAGAATACTCTATCCAGCTAGGCTGTCATTGAAAATTGAAGGAGAGATAAAAAGCTTCCAGGACAAACAAAAACTAAAGGAATTTGCAAACACAAAACTAGCCCTACAGGAAATCTTGAAAGGGGTCCTCTAAGCAAAGAGAGAGCCTAAAAGCAACATAGACCAGAAAGGAACACAGACAATATACGGTAACAGTCACCTTACAGGCAATACAATGGCACTAAATTCCTATCTTTCAATAGTTACCCTGAATGTAAATGGGCTCAATGCCCCAATCAAAAGACACAGGCTAACAGACTGGATTAAAAAACAAGACCCATCGATATGCTGTCTGCAAGAGACTCATTTTAGAACAAAAGACACCCCCAGATT